CAACTTAGGCAGAATTGTTAGATTCTGAATAGCACAAGACTCCAGAGTCTATTCTTTCTCTCTCTCATACAGCTGAAAGGACCTGTTAAATATCAAGGCCCAAAACTGCTGAACCAATAATATACAGTATCAGTAAGTAGACTACAAACCCGATTTTCTGCCACTGATGTTCGGACACGCTTATTAAGTGTACCATTCTTAGATCGATCCTCCAACTTTTGAAGCGCAATGTCAGAGGGGCTTCGATTCATCTGGTTTCCAATTTTCAAACATGCGCTACCTGGCCTTTCATTCGTTAATAGCTCATTCCGCTGCTGCTTCTTGGAGGTGGTAGCCTCAAAATATTTGCCCAGTTTATGCAAGTGTTCATCCAACTTTTTTGCTCTACCACTAGCCCAGCAAAATTAAACAAAGAAAAAAGCAGTAAGCAGTCAGCAAAAACACCAGAGGGAAGACCCCAAAAAAAAAATCCATCAAAGTCAGACATATACATCAATAATCCATTGAGTCCTTATAAAAATGGACTAACAATCAAATTCAACAAATATAATTTCTCAGCTCCACATGCTTTTTCTTTTAAATCAAAATTCAATTCAGTCCTTATAAAAAGGAACTATTTCAAAATGTACTAGCTCCACAAATTAATTTTGACAGCAATACATACATAATTTCAAGGGATCAAAGACACATTCTTATGATGCTGGAAAAAGGGAGGAAACCATTTCATTTGCAAAACAATAACATTTCTTAAGATTAGTAATTGAGCATAACTTAGTTAACCTCGCTTTGCCAGTTTCTTGACAGGTTTTTCATTTTATTACCCTCTTTGCAATAATTTGTACTATAGTGGTCAACAACATACTAACACAGCATGCTCTAACAAGAAGAGTGAGCATGTTGCTATTAGCTATTGCCACCTTTGCAGTCATTGAAAAGCAAATAGTAGGAAAAGACTGTAGCTTCAAAAACGTTTTGTAATACAATTGATCCTTAGATAGGAAAAGCATTCCATGATGATTCAAAAAAGTAAAACTGGAAACAGTAAACTGAGATAGGATACCAGATCTCAAATCATACCTAGCTCTTATGCATGTATCAGCAACACTCGCTCTAAACCTCTTTAACTCCTCTACCGCCACAGGAGGTGAGTTTCTTAAATGAGTAGCGCCAAAAGAATTATCCTCTGACATGCTCCCACCAGAGAAGCCAAGAACCCTCCTTAGCTCACCTGACCGTGGATACTTTTGATCTAACATTACAATGGGCTCCAACATCAGACACTGAGACAATGTAGATACATCCCCGGTTGATGGACCACTTCCCCTTGGTGTACCCTTTCCTGAATTCAATGTATGGACGTCAGAACCCTCTCTGAAGCTTCCAGATCTACCCAAACCTGGACCAGAATAGGTACCCCTCTGTGCATAGTTTCCATGAAAGCTCGAATCAGGGCTAGCTGAACTCAATTCAAATCTCGGATTTCCAGCCATTTCGACAAATCAATCCTAGCAAGTCATACCTATTAAGAGGTTGTCCTTCAATCGGTTACTTTCGAATCTGTAACCAACCATAATCAAATGAAAACAAATGATCAGTGGCTCATCTCGGCAAAACAAGAATCAAGATTGCAACTCCAGAATAAGAATTCAGTAAAATGTTTCTTATAAATTAAACCACATAACCTTTGAAACTTACAAAACAGCATTGCATACCATTCTTTGCATTAAATACTAGCAGTTACTATAAGAAGACACTGCTAAAATTTCGTTTCCAAACAATAATAAAGACCAGAAATCAGTCTTCATCAGTAGGTAAAACAAAAATTATCAAAGCAGAAATTTAAAAATTCATAACCTCAGTCTAATTACAATTCATAAACAAAGTGATCGCATTTATTCAGTATTTCAGGGGAAAAATGTTAAAAAGGAAAAAAAGATAGACTCATTTTGAAAAGATAAACGAAAAAAGAAAATGAACTCACAAGAAAATCATTGAGATTAAAATTCAATAACGAGTACAATAACTTCTTTAGAATAACCCAGTAAGGTTACTACCATGCTAATGTATATTCCATGAAATTACAAACCCACAGTCTATAAAGAACAAAACGTCCAGACATGATCACATTTCAGGAGAAAAGAAAACGCTTAACGAAATCCACGCTGAAGCAACTGCCCGCTGTAGAATTCAGAATTCAATTCAGTGTCAAGAGCATTGAAAACCACCATATTCCAACCAAAATTAACCCGAAATCTAGATGAATTTCACAGAATTGAGCAAATTAAACTCAAGTTCAGATACAAAAACAGCTGATTACACCTTTAACCAAAGGACGTTAGCTATACCTACAAAACCCCTAACTTGAACTAACACAGAAATTAGGGTTTATCAACAAAAACATTCCAGAATCTAAAAAATTCTCCAGGACTAAAAGATTCAGGTTAGTTAGACAAGCATCAAAAGAGTACCTTCATTCATCTATCGCCTAGGGATCGAAGAGAGAGACAGCAACAAGCAAAGAAATCAGAGAGAGAAAGAAAGAGTACGAGTATAAAGCGGTGGGCGTAGATTTTTGTTTGTCTTTTGTTTTTTTTATTCTCCCGCTCCCGTATTGTATACTTCCGTGAAGCTGGCAATGAAGAGATCCCACGCGAACCGGACCCGCTAAATTTAGGGGTAAAATTTCCAGTGGGGGCTGGGCCGGCCCCGCGGTCCCAGCGAAGCACGGTTTCCAGAAATTTGGGGTCCAAAATACTGTGACGAGGCCAGAGGGTTGGAGAGGTGCTTGACTTTAGTATTTCCTTTCTTTTTCTTTTACTTATTTGGTTTCTTTGGAATATACCTTATCCATTTGGGGTGTGAATCCTTTTCCTGTGTGTTTGATACTTTGACGGGACGGCATAGGCTCGCGTGTGTGAATTAAGAGTCTCCAAAGAAGTTGGAAGTTAAAGGAGGATGGAAGCGGATACACTACTGTCAAGATCATGATGTGATCTAAAAATTGTGGAGTATGTTGCGGGGGGAACTAAATTGTGCGAAGTGGTTAGGGAACAAAAGAATGTTGAGGGTTTCAGGGAAAAAAAAAAGTTAAATTAATCAGGTTGAGAAAGTAACGGTAAGAAGATATTGATGTTTTTTAATAGGAGATTGATTATTTGGAAAAATTTATTTTTTTGATGTAATGTACGTAATATAAAAAATAGTTGAAAGGATAAAAAAGATTATTGAAAAGTGTATTTATGATGTAATAAAAATTTTTTGCAAATAACTCCACATCCAGCCAATATTTTCAAGATGTTGAACGGAAACAAAAAACCCTAATCTTAATTCGTTCCACACATTTGAGATATACACACATGTATTTACTTATAAATACATATATATGTGTGTGCGCGCGCGCGCGTGCATGTGAGTACACATGTATTTATACACACATGATTATGCACAAATACATCTTAATTCTGTATTTTTTGTATAGCATAACATACCTCCCCAAGATTATGATAATTGTAGAAAGGTACCGTTAAGTTGAAAAAATCAACTTTCTTTTTTTTTTTATTTGCACGCAGGAAGCATCTTGGATAAGATGACATAGGCAAACTCCCATTATGGTTGACCAAGCATACCCTTTTTGTAATTTGAAAATGTGTTTTCTCCGCTTTCATGTTCTTTAGCCTTCTTATGGGGCAAAAAACATTAAGTTCTATTTAATTACACAATTCAACACTTAAATTTAACGAGGTTAACTCTTAACATGTTTAGATGTATTTTAGAACATCCAATGATATTGAATTTTCTGAAAAAATATGCTCTAAAAAGTAAGTGATAAACTATTTACTTATCACCTAATGTTGGATATACTTAAATATATCAGATTCAGTACTTAATGGATTCAAACTTTGTAGTTTAGATTTCAATTTTCAATTTTCAAACCATAAATTTTATCAAATGCGCTCTTAATAATTCACGTCATGCTTTCGGATAACCTAACTAGACTTCAAAATAAAAAGGGAAGTAACTTTTCGATTGCCAAATTTGGATTAATATTATTTTGTCCCGTAAATCTATTTGCAAAATCCTTGACATTTAGTTATACGAATCACTTTTATGATCCATGATTCCAAACATATTACATTTTTATTTGACAAATTTTATATTAAAAAACAAACGCATCAAGCAACTTATCGATATAAGAAATATTAAATACGATTGTTTTTTAGCCTTCTTGATGTAAGAGATAGACTTTTTCTCATATCATTGCCACAGTATAAATAATCTCATCACTAATTGCATCAGAATTACATATGCATTTACAACAGAATTCTTGATTTTGAACCTGATAAAAAGAAAAATAAATGACATATAAATCTTCTTGAAATTTATTGCTTTTATTGTAAGAGTTAGTTTAGATTGAGAGAAGTAGAGAGAAGAGAAAGTTGGGACTTTTCTCTTTATTTGGGAGTTGTAAGTGGAGGGAAGAAAAAGGAAATGGATCGGAATGAGAGGATAAAACTAAGTGTATGAAATTGTTCTCTCCAAAAAAATGAACAGAAAGGAAGGGAAGTGAAATAATAGCACAAACCTAAAGGTGAATAAGTAAAATATACACATTTTCAGATTTGGAAATCCTTAAATATGATAAACACATCTCATTATAATGTCTAGATTTTAAGTATTTGATCACCAAATTTGACTATTGGAAGTATGTATACGTGTTTTTCTCAGGTTACAAGCACAGTATCTTATTTTCGAAATATTTTTACAGTTTTACAGTGTAATTTTTATGTAATTTTCAGATGTATAATATATATTCTTCAAATCCTTGGTACATTTGATGGCATTTTTTTTTTCCCAATCAGTGCAAATTTCATTGAAATTATGATGATGTTTTATTAAAAAGAAAAAAAAGAAAAAGTAAAATACACAAATGAATTAGCTATCCTCTCCTAAACTCCCAAACTAGACCTTGTAGTTGTGGACCTCTGCTTCAGAGTATGGACTGGGTCTAAGCAAGCCTAAGCCCAATTCCAGCACCATTCCAGATAATTCCTCAACTGCACGGCGGGCTGAGCGTAGAACAGCGGAAGTCCGAAACCCCGAGCTCTTCGGGAAGGCGAGGGGTCGTCAGCCGCGTCAGATCACCGCCTGGCGTGGCGTCCACAATCCCATACCTGGGTCCCACCTGATGACGCAATCCACCGCCTAACGGCGTTGCCGGAAATGAATATATTTCTCCGAAAGAGGAGATATAAACAATAATATCCCAACGACGTCACCAGTCGTCCCCAGCTAGCAGTAACTTTCACCTCTTCAATCGGCTCAGCTCATACTCTTGACTACACTGCTCTATAACCAAGCAGATTTTGATATTTCAATTTTCAAGTAATTTTCCACCATTTCCGCCTGATCGGAACCTCCGAGAGAAGTGGCTATGGCGATCGCCAACGCTTTCATCAGTCCTGCTGCTGCTGCTGCTACCTTAGCACCTGTTCGATCCAAGTTGTCCCATTCCGATTGTGACTTCTCTGCTCCTCACTTGAATCTCTCCTTTTCCACCTCCTCGTCTAAACTCACCCGTGGGTTATGTCATTCCGGAATCACTACCAAAAAGTAAGCAAACTGTTCAACTTCTTAATGTCTAACGGCTGAAAACTTTTTATTTATAGTTTTTTTTAATGTAATGTTTGATCTAAATAAAAGTATTATATTTTTTTGCTTGTATTTTGATAGGAATATTAGTTGCGCTTCGATCGATGGTGTGGAATCAGTTAGTTCAGCCTCATTGGTTAGTTACGATTTACCAAGTTTCTTGTTTAGCCTTGTCTTCTTCTTCTTTTTTGAAAAGTTCTTTTTATTGTTCAGTCGCTTTAAGTTGCTGTGAATAATATCAAGATTATCCAAGTTTTTCAGTGAAATCACAACTATGAAGTTATTTGTTGTTTATTTCTGTTTAGCGCAAATTTGTTTTTACTGAAAACTGTGCTGCGGAAATGTTGGAAATTACTTGATTACAGTAGTACTATTTTGAGAGATTTCATTTGATTATTAAGCCTGTTAAAATTGCTGTTTCCAGAAATTAGAGCAGGATAGAGATGGTATTCCTATGCCTATTGTTCTGATAGATCAAGATTCTGACTCTGATGCAACAATAGTACAAGTTAGCTTTGGCGATCGTCTTGGTGCTCTCATTGACACGGTGAAGTCACCATCCTTTGTCTGCCTGTCATCACGTTTCTTTTTCTTTTTGTGCCAGTTTTATTATTTGGTATCCGTTATATAGTTGTTTTTGAAATATTTGAAAGTAGTTCATGAGGTTTCTTTTGTGTCAAGTGGAAGGGGGTAGGGAAAGTTAGGAGACTCAAGTCTTTGTAAGTTATTGTAAGCCATCTATAACCTTTTCAGATTTATGGCATCAGGTCTTTTGGAAATTTTTAGATATTGTGGACCTCATCTTTTTATCAAACTCCTCAGTGTACCTTTTTGTTAGAGGTACTGACTTGTAAGATATTGTATGTCATGTTTCCTCCTGTATGGACTAGATGTGATGGAGTCTGAGGTAATACTCTTCCAGTTAGACAACAAATATCTGCCTTTCTGTATCCTCATGCTCATTTAACCCATGGTTTTTAGTTAGCCCAACTGTGTGAGATTTTTTACGATGCTAGATATTCAGATTTTTTATGGGGACTTGCTGCTTAAGATTAATGCCTTTTTCACTTTCCTAATCTTTTCAAATATGTCATCTTGGATATTTTTCATCTTTAAGTAAGTTTATATAACATGCAGTCTTGGTTTTCTCTGGAGCAGATGAAGGCACTAAAAGATCTTGGTTTGGATGTTGTGAAAGGAACTGTTAACACTGAGGCCTCAGTGATAGAAACAAAATTTTTCATCACACGTCTGTAAGGAACTATTTAGTTGCTTTTCGAAATTGATGGAAAGTTCTCACTATTTGGTTGCTGTTTCCGATGCTGCTTGTGGTCTTATAAGTAGACTAGATTCCCTGTTCCTGCTGCTATGAAGAATGGCACGATAGTTGTGTAACTATGCTGATGGGTTTTGAAAATGTTTCTTATGGTTGATGATGCAAAATTCACCTTTTTGTCATCTGATTCTGGTGTTGGCATAAAGATAATTCACATTAGTTTACTTGGTAAAAGATTTCAGTTTCTTAAGGAAACAATATGTCTAAACTACTTGTATTAAATTTGTATTAAATTCTAGAAAGAACTCAATCTGATTTTTGAGATTGCCATCTGTTGAGAAAAGAATTATTCACGGGCAAATAAAAGTTGGATAGATAAATAAATGGAATTCAGCTTAATAGGTTAATCTGAAAAGAAAAAGCAATCTTGAAGCATTGCCAACAATTATTCACAAACTTTTTTGGTGCTCCAACCCACTAGGAGTACCTTCATGAATGAATGTTGGACAGATATTTGAATGCTCACTGGTTTTAGCGGGAAGTTTGCCACAGACATTATCAAATAGCGCCCTTTGATGAGAGGTATGAACAAGAAGCTTTGAGGAAACTGGTGTTTTCTGAATTATATCAAGCTAGTAAGCCAATCATGGGTATTTGAAGTGGAGTATCCAGGAAAAAGCAGAACATCTGATGGAAGAACAGGGAATCCTTTTGAACAACCCATTCTAATACGAAAGCCTTGTATCTTAAATAATTCATCAAGTTGATGATAAAATTCATGGATGTTGAAGTGGACATTATGCATGTGTTACACAGCAACCCCTTAAGTTGTTGTGTGTCTGCTGGAGGTTACCTTTTGCATGCATGTATTAATTCTAATTCAGATATCAGATGTGCCATATCCCTTTTTTTTTGGAATGGTTTACAATAACTCTCATATTAGGGCAAGTGGACGCAAAGTTGAAGATCCTGATCTTCTGGAGAGAATTCGTCTTACCATTATCAACAACCTGCTGAAGTATCATCCAGTATGTTTCTATTGCTAATGTACTCATATTTGGACACCATTAAATAGTTTTCCAGGATTTTCACGTGCTTATTCATTTTTTATTGTGTACTTTCCGCTCTCTTAAGGTTGTTTTTGTTCCTTATACTATTTAACTCTTTCCTTCATCTCGATGATATGTACATATCAGGAGTCTAGTGAGTGTCTTGCAATGGGTGAGGCTTTTGGAATAAAAGCACCGACAGAGAAGGTAATTCCCTTTCCCTATCTATCCTAGTCAATCTGATTTCCGTGTCTCTTTTAAATTTCCTTATATTTAATGATCAAAATAGAACACAAATTTCCTTATATTTAATGATCAAAATAAAACACATAATCCTGGTTGATGATTCATTGTAACTGATTAGGAATTTCTTCCATAGAACTTGCTTTTGCAATCAATACTGCCCACCCATATCTTTTATACTACCTCAATCATATGTACATTGGTCCTTTGGGGTCTGTTGATTTGCTCACTAATTTTTTTTAATTACACTTGGATGCAATTTTAAACAAAGAATTTCTACGTAATGCAAAGGCAGTTAGTCATTCATAAGAGTAATGTGTTCCACGGTACAATGAACTTTTTCCATTCTTTCCTAATCAGTGATTGCTTGAGGGCCTAGTAACTTTGCCAGATGAAGAACCAATAGTTACTCTCTCTAGTTGATAAAATTGCATATTAAATATGAGTGTTGCTTCCTTCCTGTAACAATCAAACCTTCCTTCAGATTATTGAAGGCTTAGTTTTGGCTGGAGATTTTAGTTTATAGTGCTTGGTACATCAACATATTCAACTCGAAAGATTTCCTTTTGACCAGTTGGCCATATCCTCTTGTTGATTGCTGTATACGGTGATGCTTATGCATTCCAATCATGGTTTGGTTTCTCAATAATTGTTCATGACTAGGTAGATGGAAACGTGCCGAGGTGATAATGAGTGTTGAATTTTTTTTTTTTTTTTGGGAACTTACTACCTTGTAAACTTTTGACTTTTTCCTGTCAAAATGGCAGCTTGATGTTGATATTGCTACTCATATACATGTCAAGGATGATGGACCTGCAAGGAGGTGTGCATTTTAGCAGCTTGAGTTCTTTATATGCATGTGCCCCAAGTTATTAACTGGCTTTCAAACTAATACAAGTGTTGGGCAGCTTTTTCCGAGTACAGTTCTGTGGCATCTCAGACTGAACTCATTTGTTTGCTTTTGTCTTGTGGTTTCAGCTTACTTTATATTGAAACAGCTGATCGGCCTGGGCTGCTCTTAGAGATGATCAAAATTATGGCTGACATCAATGTTAATGTGGAATCTGCTGAAATTGAAACAGAAGTATGCCCTCCCTGCCCCCCCCCCCTCTCTCTTCCTGAGTTGGTGTCTGAGTGAACATCTGTTGTTATATTTTGGCGTCAACTAATACTTACTAATTTCTAGGGTCTAGTAGCAAAGGACAAGTTTCATGTCAGTTACAGAGGGCAAGCATTGAACAATTCCTTGTCTCAGGTAATTGAAATCTGCTTTAGTTTTTGAGTCTCTGCGTGTGTGTGTGTGTGTGTGTGGGCGTGCATGAAAACAAAAGAAAAGGGGTCACATGCATACAAATGCTCTTTAATATTGTCAATTGATAGTCCGACTAGAATTTCTACTACTTACAGTGTCCTGGGTACTACCATCCTGTCGAAGTCCCCTTTTGGATTTGACAACTGATTCATCTTTGGTGTTCCCTTTAAGCCCAAATATTATAAATATAATCCTGGGTGTTTTGGTTCTTTGATTACAGGTTTATTGCACTAGTCCAGAACAGAAAGATAACTAAGAGTTCGAGTGCTATTTACTGATTAGTCCTTGATGAACTTGCATGTTTTTTCCTTGGAAACTTGCAGCTGAAATGGTTCAATGAAATTTATGTTTTGCTTGAATAATCCTATAGTTAAGGTGAAGAGCCTTTGAGATTTACTCATAAAATAAGGGAAGTGGCATTTCTTGATCTAGAGGTGTGTCTTGGGATCTTAGGCAAGATAACGTGTTTCAATTAGCAAAGTCAAAAGGCCCACTCAATGGGTGAATAGGGGGCTGATGTTGAGAGTTTCCAATGGGCAGAACTTCTTTCTATGTTTTGCCAATGATCCTTTTGTTTAAGCATCTGTTCCTTGCATGTTAAACTTGCACTTCTCTCTAGTTACAATTTGAACCTGCAGGTGCTAACTAATTGTCTGCGTTACTACCTCCGGAGGCCAGAAACTGATGAAGATAGTTACTAAATGGTATCTTCACTGTATACTCACTGTACAAAACCATTGCGCTGCCTCAATCGAAGATCTTGAGTTACTATTGCGCTATGATATATCAGGAAATTGAGCTCACATTCCTTGCCATATTTTAGGGTGTATTTGCAACATTGTTACCATTGCAAAGATAGAAAACTATTTTTCCTTTATCATGTCAAATTGAGGAACAGGCCATGTGAAGAGTTTAAACCTTTTTGCTTCTCATATGACAAACTTCCTGGACATGTCTTGGGGGCAGTTAGCTTTTGTTAGTGCCATCCCGAGGGTTCACTAGGAAAAAAATTTGTGTTTTTTGGCATGAATGCTACGTGCTTTCCTCCACCCTGTAAAGGTTTAAGGCCGAAAACTTTCCAGATCCCAACATGCTACCCCACAGCGTTGAGCCTGCAACTTGACATGAGGCAAGGGGAGGATGGTTTTTTTCTCGTCACGTGTCTCCATTTTATCATCAATTTCTTTGACGCGATTCAGATTTGGAGCAATATAATAAACAAGTCAAATTAAGCAATTCCTAAAGTTCAATATTAGAAATGAAGAGGTTACAGCGGGGAAGGCACTCTGGCTCCTAGATGTACACAGAATTAGCTCATAATGCATTTTGAAAACCAGTCAAATTAAATATAAGAAGATTCAAGATTGTCGATTTATCATCTACTAGGTTAACTACCAAAGCTTAATTTTGGCTGCGAGCTTGGAAATTGCTCATCAAGGCATGCAACACCTCTAAAACTCAAAATTCCTTTTTTAATGCCTAAAGTGCCTCACATTGGTGAAAAGCAGGGATACTCCATATTTCTTACAGCAGTCGATAGCATCGACATCTCTGATGCTACCTCCAGGCTCCGCAATGACGCTTATCCCACTTTGACATGCTTCTTCAACAGCATCGTTCCAGGCTGTTCACAAAAGAAAACTTTAGAAAGATAGGGGCAGGTAACCAGTTGTCTATGATTTGATTTGGCTTATCCTTCAGTCTATGTTCTGCTACCACTCGGAACTTTTTCATATCAAGTAGTCCCTTCAGTAGTGCAGACCTATTACCTTTCTCAATCCAAAAATAAAAATAAGTAAATTAATAAATAAACCTCTCGCTGACATTTTAGTCTTTAATCCCACCTCAAACTGAACTCAGCCAGGTAAATAAACCAAAATCCAATATTGGTTCATTAAGGTAATGAAATGTTTACCAAATGGAAAGAAAGCATCACTAGCCAAAGCAGCTCCCTTGACTTCGTCCCCAGCTTTCCTTAAAGCTATCCTGAAGCTTTCCAACCTGTTTGGTTGCCCACTTCCCATGCCTAACATGCAATTGTCCTGCCAAGCAAGGAGTAGGGTCAGAAACAAATCATCTGAATCTAGACATTTTTTACCACCTGTATTCGTTTTATTTCCTTACTTGGGGAGATACGTTGTTTATGTTCAGCTAGATTAAACTCACCTTTGCAATGACAATGGCATTACTCTTGACATGCTTCGCACAGAGCCATGCAAACCGTGCATCGGAAAGCTCACTTTCTTGTGGAGCCTTATCAGCGACTGATTTGAACTCGATATCTTCAGGAACTAAATCATCTGAATCTTGAGCTAACCAACCCCCACCAACTTGCCTGAGCGAGAGTTTTCCTTTACTATTTTTACTTGCCTCAAGTATTCTCAAAGTCTTAGATTTTCCACGAAGAACCTCTAGCCCCTTTTTGGTATACTTGGGTGCAACAACAATCTCATAAAACATTCGAGTTTCATTGTCAGTTGGGCTTCTAAATTCTCGAATGTCCTTAGCCAGCACCTAAGGAGACAATTTTCAAGAACTTGACCAGTTAAAAATGGATTTCAGTTGTTCCAAATGAAAAACAGCTAACATTATATCAAGATCATTGTAGAGCACATTGTGCAATGGTTAAGCACAGGCACCACATTTCATCACTTATATTAGAAGTTAAAATTTGAAGACAAAACATTCCCCTAACTGGGCTAGGGCCTTAAAAAACAAAAATAGCACAGAACTTCAATGTCAACACCATGAAGAAGACATGAAAATTACCTCATCAACTTCCACATTAAAGGCTACAATACCACCAAAAGCACTCACTGGATCTGCTTTCACCGCCAGTCTATATGCTTCAACAATATCATCACGTGAAGCAACTCCACAAGGATTTGTGTGTTTCACAATGACACAAGTAGGTCTATTAAATTCACACACGCAATTCCACGCTGCATCTGCATCTAAATAGTTATTATATGACATCTCCTGTACCAAAGGATACAAAAGCAATCTGAGTCTGATACAAAGTTCAAATTATAAAAAAACTCTTACTCAATGTAAAGCTCAAAAATAGGAAGTTAACACAATAAATGGAAGTAATTCCATATTTAGCTAAAAAGAGAGATTCAATAAGTTTGAAAAATGGAAGCATAACACAAGCAGACTCACTCAGGAAAATTGAAAACACACTAATTAAAATGATAAGACATCATTTATAAGACAGCAAGCATTTCTTTCATCTGGAGAAAATGTATAAGGTTATTAATTTGCAGTGTTATGGTAAAATGTCTATAAAAGGATATAAATTTTCAAACCATAAAAACTTTGATTACAGCAGAGCTGTAACTAAGTTATAGCAGGATAAGATTTAAAGAACCCTTAAAAAGGCACAAAGAAATACGGATAACACTCCTTGCAAGCAGTTCAAAAGCTTTAGTCCCTCATTCCTCACCACACTAGATCCCATCACAAAAGAGGATGGCAAAACTTCACTACACTCTCCTCTGTTCCAGGTACAACAAAAATTGTGTCAAGTAAAATGATATCATTTTCCTTTTATCCAAAAGGAAAGGAAAAATATAATCATCCTTCATACACCAAAGGATTCATTCCTCTCTCCACCAGGTTGATCTTTCAACATATCAAAGCAAAGCCTTGATCGTGTTATATCACTTACATTCAGTTCCACGACCAACATGAAACATGGCTAACTTTTGATTGAGGTAGCACACAGTCAGCCCAATGGAAAAGGTCATTAAATAGGACACTCTATGGAACAAAATTATTCAAGAAATGAGGCCTGAAAAGAATGCAGATCGTGTTAGGAATCAGTCGCTTACCTTTCCATGGTGTTGAATAGCAGTTGCAATACCACCACCATTAACCTCAGCGAGAGACTTGTCAACATAAAATGCAGCCTTCTGGTGGGGATTTTCACCATACCGAAGTGCACTTTTGAGTGAGAGAGACACAGTCATATTGGGAGGAAACTTATCTTCAAATCCATAAGAAATTAGTCAATATGAGTGGACAGATGATGGGATGATTCAAACTTATTGGTTTTCAACCTTTAAATAAAAACCCCACAATCTTTTGAGTAGTTGCCAACATGAATTCAACTTTTGAAGCATGTAGAGATGAGGAATCTCATGGCAAAGAGATCTTGGAAACTATACGTCTGGCATGGATGATTTGACAAAAATATTTCTACCCATAAGAAAAATTAATACCTTCCGATGTTTGCTTCCACAACCACTCTGAAACTGCAGTGTCGTAAGAGGCAGCATACTGGAAAGCCTTCTGAGACAGCTTTCTCCTAAATTGTTGGTTGTCTTGCTTTCCACGAAGAAACTCTAGAAGTGCAGGGTAGTCTTCTGGATCAACCACCACCAAAACATCCTTGTGATTCTGTGGATATAGCATTGAAAAATAAGACAGTTGTCATTTGGTGCTATCTTACAGATTAGCCTAAAGAGCATTTTTTGCTACCATAGGAAAAGACTTTGACTTGCCAATACACAAAAGTAGGGTTTTTCATTTATAACAAGATACACCACCTAAACATTAACGCACAGATATGAAAGATGCCAATTGAAGCTCACGCAAGTGATTTGCAACTGAGCCTAATTACAACCAATCAACCTTCAAAACTAAAAAGATGTAAGAATGAGTAACTTTTATTTGCATTATACAAACTCCACAAATAGTAAGAACATTTATTTCTTTGTCATCAAGAAGCAAGGCTATAGTATTATTCTTTACTACTTGCTACAGCACCACAGGTAATTTAAAGCACTAGCTTCAAGCTCACAAAGCTTTTCAAAAGCACATCATTTGATACATAGTTACTTTAGTTTTCCTCAAATTCATGACTCATTAAATCCCCAGTGTTTAGTATCAGACCCTAGAATTAGACAATTGGTGAGTCTAATGTTACAAAAGGTTTATACAGGCCTGACTAAAGAATTTGACAGCTTTTCAAAACATATCCAGCAGCAAGGGGAATGGATATGTGACATGTTAATAAATAAAATGAAGAAAACAAAAGTAACAAGGTTGAGGTCAATAACCTTTGCGGCAGCTCTTATCATGGCTGGGCCACCAATATCAATATTCTCAATTGCATCTTCAAAAGATATTCCACTTGAAGAGGAAACTTTTTCATAAAATGGATATAAATTGACCACACTACCTCAATTGTACCTGCAAAAGGGAGTCGTTTTAAAGATGGCTGGGGTAACGTAATAAGGCAAACAAGCAACTAAAGTCTTCCACTCCAGATGCAAGGAAAGGTGTTCATTTTTCAAATTGAAGATGCAAACATTCTGAAATACATTTTCACGTCCTATATATTTCAGTTACACACATCAGACAGGTAATGTAAGATGACAATAAAAGTATGACTTGCAGCATTGGCAGGATATGATTAAGGAGTTGTTTATGGCCTTGAAGATTAAAGGTATAGTCAGGGGGATGCAATTCCTCAGTTACTCTTCCAGGGGATTACAACTACCCACATGACATCTTTGATCGCCAATTTGAAGGTCAACAGGTTCTCAGAGCCTGCTCTCAACTCTAAAATGAGAAAGTGACCAATTCAATTTTTTCACCTCTAATGATGTTTTGGCATCCACTTAACCAACAGAATTGTAAACTATGCTCACCAATCTTGTGCTTGTCAAGGGCTTCCATGTGATGCTCCAAATCTCTCCTAGCAAGGATACCCCCATGTATGCTAGGATGCAGAGTTTTTACTCGACCATCAAGCTGTACAGGATTTACAAGTTAAGGGAAGTGGACCAGTAGTATCGTTTAATTCGTCCTAAAATCACAATTTTAACAAGCAGCTTACCATTTCAGGAAAACCAGTGACATCTTCCACTTTAGTCACAGATAGACCATCACTTTCCAAAGCAGATGCCGTTCCTCCAGTTGAAATAATCGTGTACCTGCATTTGAAGATAGATTAGCTTGACAAGCAGTCAAGCACCACCAATTTTATAATAGAAAAGTTTGCTATATTACAGCTCTGGTGCATGGTATTTTCCACAATACCAATAATATCCCCTCCCCAACTTTTA